TAGGTCAATATTATTGGAATAAAAATATAAAAGATTCTGTTTGCAATTAGACAAGTGAATTTCCATAATATAGCAGTTCTCAAAGGGTGGTCCAAGGATGCCAGGGCTCCCCATGACTCATTCAGGAGGCACATGAGGTAAAGACTACTTTCATAATACTAAATGTTATCTGGTTTTTGGTATAATTATCTCATAATTATACAGTGGAGTTGTCCAGAGGCTACATACATGGAATGCATCCTTGTGTAACTCTTGTTTTCAACTTTTTCTCAGTTTAAATTTCTAATATGATAAATATTAGTTGATATGAATCTCATAAACAAAAGCTCTCTTGGGTCCTCAATAATTTAAGAATATAAAGGGGTCCTGAAAGCAAAAAGTTTGAGAACTGTTGCTAGTAATAGTTAAAAAGTGCAATGTTGGTTTTCTTCAAACACAACTTCTACTTTCTAATTTCAAGAATTCCCAAGATAGTTATGGCAGGTAAATATGGTTCCCTGTGCAGAATGTTCCTAAGACCCAGATGGGGAAAGAAAAGAAGGATCTTTCTAAAAAGATTAGTAGACTAAGGATGATATGAAAAATCTTCCATCTCTGCAGTCACTATTATTCTGAACTTACCATACAAGAAGTAACAAATCGACAAATATTTATTAAAAAAAAGCTGCTATGCTATTAAGAGCTGAAGTTACAAGGAAAACTAAAGTGATATACCCGCCCTTAGTGGGCTCACAGTCTCATCAGGAAAAACATAATCAACAACATAGTGAGATACTACTTAAGAGAAGGCATGGACAAAGTGGAAAAAGCACTGAAAGACACAATTTTGGGGAGAAAACTGGGTGGTAAGGCAGGGAACACTATATTTAGTGAAGTTGCTCTACAGAGGTGGCGTATGAACTGACTCTAGGGATAATCAAGGCCTTCCCAACTGGAAAAGAAGCTTCAGTCTTCTTTAGAAAGTGGGAGGACCATCGGCCCAGTCCAGGAAGCACAGTGGCACAGAGTATGTTTCCGAAACTTTAACCACCTCCAAGAACAAAAACTGCCGGTAATGACAAACTGTTATAGAACATGACAAAATAATTTGATGGATGTTCTATAAAAGTTATAGATAATTAAATTCAATGATGAAAGATATGGACTTAGATTTTGTAGTCTTATAAAAATCTTCTGTCACAGTAGCTTTTTAAAAAGATAATAAAAGTGAGTTACTAAAAAATAAAAAATAGAATCAAAACACACAATTTATTGGTCTTTACTGCAGACATTTTGAGAGGCACTAGCTTGAAGGACACGCTCCAAGATGGCAGGCGGGGAGGAGCAGCAATAGCAAGAGACAAAGCTTCAAGCTAGAAGCTTACATAGACTGTGCTAGAAACATTTTTTTAAATAAAATAAAGCAAAAAGGAAGCAAATCAGGTTTGGAAACATTCATATACCTCTAGTCCAGAATGGAGAAATTCTAGTTATCTAAATAAAATCCATAAGCTCTGATGTTAGAATCGGACAATTTTCAGATATGCAAACCACATTGTTGAAGGGCAAATGTGGCAGAGAATCAAGGAGACTATCAGGTTCACATCAGTTAGTTACAGTGAAAAAAGACCAGGGTCTGTGTAAGAAGAGAAAGTGTATTGACAGTTTGATCAACACTTTTAAAGTTATTTTGACTACTTCATTTGAAATCCTTCATGGAAGAGGAAAAAAACCTGAGTTGATATGGGAAGCTCAGAATATAGAAATTTTATAAAATTTAAGTTGATATGGGAGCTTAGCATATAGGGACTTTATAAAATCTGAGTTGATATGGAGGCTTAGTCTAGTAGGGATCCTCCTCCCCAAACAACATAAGTTATATCAATTAAGATATTAAGTAAAACACACTTAAAGAAAAGTCAATTCTTTAAAGATAATAAATTCCAAAAATATGTTAATTATTTCCCATAGTAACAGTACGTTAGGATTAAAGAAGGTCTATTACTTTTCTATGTTCATTATGCTATTGCAATTGCTACATTATTTTTGATCAGACAAGTAACACAAGTAAGCTGGAGTTTTAGGAAGAGCTGGTTGTTGTGAGAAACTCGGACAAGGATGTTAGTAAAGAGGCTTGCCAGCGCAAGAGCTCCAGATGAGAAACGATAAGACTCTGAACTAACATGGTTGGCTGCGAGGAAGGAAATTAAGAGTGGATGAAAGCAATGCTGGAAGCTAACAATGATTCACTTGAGCCAAGCATACAGATTTTCTTACTGACGTTATCCACAAGGCCAAGAAAACACTAGTGAGAAATACAAATTGATTTACGGCAATTAATTCCAACTAAGACAACTTACCTAGATTATAAATTGATCTTGGTTTTACCAGTTTCATGTTCCTACTAAAAATCTAATGTGGAAGTTTAAACACATTTTACAAAGAGTTATTTCTTAAACAAAAAACTATGACTTTGAGGAGTGTTTTATGAAGTTGGCAAGATATTCCATGTATACAATTCACCTACTTTATCAATCTGGTAACCCAACCCATCAGTACTGGCCTTAAAAAATATATATATATATAGATAACTCTATGTCTGACATGAGCTTTAAGTTCAAGATATCTACTAAAATAGTCATCAAAATTTTAATCAAATCAGAAATCTTCCCAGTGGAAAATCATTACATATAATAACAATTCCATTGGAAGGAAAATTTGCATATTCAAATGTTTAAGCTAAATTGATTTATAGTTGTTTAGCTGACTCTACACAAGATAGTCCCTGTTTTTGTATCAGCAATTTTTATCAAAATTACCTAACAAATATTATACACTGAGCTAAACAGCAGAGAAAGTATATGAAGTCCTATAAAACATAATAAAGGATGAATTAACTTTGATAGTTACTCCATATGATGATTGTATCTTTTTCAAAAGAAGAAGCCAACAAAGAGCAAGGGAAATATGGCCTAAGACACTAAAAGCCTTTTTAAACACTTCATTCTTTATATAGTTTGCAATACTCAATTAATTACATCCCTTTTCTCCCCATTCTCTTTGAGCGTTCATTCAAAAAAACATAACTATACTTAAAAATGTAACTTGAGTGTTTTGCAGAGTATAACAAACTATAGCAAAAACCTCATAAAACATAGTAGTTTACAACCCTCAACTCATCAAATACTCATCTCCAGAAATATACCCGATTCTTCTTTTAGAGACACAGTCCACTGGTTAATGAAAGGCTTACTGAAAAGACATTCTATACTTTCGAACAAAATCTCCCAAGCTTATTTGCCCACTGACTGTTCATTCAAAATGAAAACCTATTTAACACATTTTAGAAAAAACACTTTTGACATATCATCTTTAAAATCTACAAGTATTTTTAAATATATGAAAGGAATACAGAAAATTGCTACTAATAATTTGTTTTTACGAATTTTTAGTTTTCAAAGTTGTTCACTGTACATTATAATGTCTTTTTTTTTTAATCTGGAAGAAAAATCTAAATTTGACCACTTTCTAAGAAAAACTCGTTCTGTGCATATTTACCAGATGGCTACCTATAATTTACTTATCTAACTCTCATAAGTGAACGTTATTCTGGTTATGAGGTATTATATCTTGTGGGGGGTCACAGTAATATGCATGACTATAAAGTTAACTTTAACAAAATTAGAAGTTCGAAAATGGGGTTCAATATCAACTGTTGCATCAAATATAAAAGCAGATTTCAGACTACCAACCAGTGATTAACACCTAATTATATCTGAATAAAAACAGGTTTAGTATTTACAAATAATTGCCAAGTTGATTTTAAATTTTAGAGGTGAAAAATATATGAATATATGAATATATGAAAAGTGACTTGCAGCCAAATAATTATTAGTCATTTTACGCAGTCTTTTAAAAATTAATGTTTTAAAGATTTTCTTGATGAAATTACAAGAAAAACTAAGCATTTAAGTAGATGATTAAAATAACTTCATTACTAGGTTTTCTGAACATTATCAGAATAGTGATGGAAAAGCAGTTAGGGTGTTCTTTGTGGATGCCTACAGGTAAAGAGCAAATTTGGCTCAGAGTTGCCATTCCCTTTTTGAAACACTGTGGTCAGTTAAAACATGGTGAATTTTAGCATGCTGTATCTGCTCTCTCTCTCTGACCAGAGTTATTCAGTTAGATAGACGAAACTGAACTATTCACAAATGATTATGAACACCATCATCAATCACTATGCCTTTACCTAGTTCCCTTTGATACCTACTGCCCAGAAATCAGCAGCACAAGGTCCAAGAGCTTAAGACATGAGGAATTCATTTAGGTTGTAGCTTTACTAGAAAACAGCAGTGTTAATCCAAGTAGAATTAACCACTCACTCATTGTCTCCTTTGTTGCTCTGCCCACCTACTTGTGTTAATTTAATCCAATTACGTTATCATTTCTCAGAAATGCTAGTAATGCTCTTTCCTTTGTAAGAGGAATTTTACATAATTCCAAAAGTAATCACTGGCCTGCACTATAATAAATGCACAATAATCAAACATGCTTCTATCTTTCCTCAAAATGGTAATTAACTTTTTATCTGAAATCAGGAATTGCTATTTCAGGCTTTATATTAACTGTCGATTTTCTCTGGTTTTTGATAAAAACAAAGTAAGCATTATCAACAAAAACGCTATTTCTTCTTTCAAGCTTCCCAATTCCTTTCTCTAGAAGTAATATACACATTGAATTCTCAAGAATATTTTTCTACATTTCTTTTATATGATTTATGTCTTTTATTATTAGATTACATTTATTTATTTACATTTATCCTTTCCATATATGTTCCTTAAAGGAAGGATTGTATCTTACTCATTTTTTACACCATACTGCCTGATGAAATAACTTGCACAGATGAAGCACATAACATTTCGAATTATAAGCTAATTTATAACTGAGAAATAATTGTCTGAAATATATTAAAGTCATAATGATTAAGCCTTAAGAACTCAGGAAAAAAAAATTCTCACCATCTGTCTCCAAGCTTTAAGCCTCTGCTTTCTGAGAAAGGAAACTGAGAAGGCTGTTGAAAAGTAGCTTTGATGTCATCTGGAGTCTTCAGATTCCCCGTCCTCCTTCAGTCAAGTGTGCATCTTAATAAGAGGGAAAAGATAGTTTGGTATCTATTCCACACCACATTCTGGAATATGTTTTGATGAAGTTCAACTTATCCCACTCATTTTCTTGTTCAAATTCAACACAAAAGTAGTCATTTGCCAGAAAAATACCAATTGTTCATGAATGCTGGTTCATTAACAGAAAGCAACAGATCTTTGGTTTCCAGATAATAATCGATAAAAGTAGCTGCTTCAACAAAATAAGCAATAAAAAAGGCTTACGGTTGCTAGGATGGGTTTATTAAACTTTGTTAATTTCAAATTTCTTAGTGTGATGTGCTACATTAATTAATTTACATCCAAAAATGATAATTCCTCCTAAAGGTGTATTTCTTAAAAAAAAAAAAAAAAAAAAAAGAGTGGCTATAGTTTTCCTTATATGAAACTTTTTCAGTTTCAGAATACCAAGTATGTAATCTTTGCAGGAAAAAAAAAATGGTAAGAAATATCAAATGCCCTATATCCATAAGAAGATTTACATAACAATGTCCTAAGCAGATTTATTTTTAATATTCAAAACCTGGAAACAACTGAAATGCCCATCAATGAGTGAATGAATTATATAGTATATCCATATCATAAAATTTTACTACTCAGCCACAAACAGAATACACACAAATATATGTAAAGTAAATATGGATGAATTTCAAAATAATTACCCTGAGTGCAAGAATCCAGATCAAAAACAAACATATTTTGTGTGACCATTTGGATAAAATTCTAGAAAATGCACATTCATCTATCACTAAAGAAAATAGATCAGTGGGGCTGCCTGGAGATGAAGGATGCCAAAGGGTGAGACTTCAAAGAAACATGATCTTAATTGTAATGATGGTTTCACAGGTGTACGCATATGTCAAAACTTGTCAAACTATATCTTAAATATGTACAGTTTATTATTCATCAATTATACTTCGATAAAACTGTAACAAAAATTAAATGCCTTAACATGTTATACGTCCCTTGATGCAGCAATTCCACGTGTAAGATTTATCCTAATTTTAAAAAAAGCATGGAGGACAGGTATAAATATTTAGTCATAGGATGTTCAAAATACACATTATTATATTGTGCACTGCATTGTACATAGCCATAAAATGTCAAAATGAAAAAACAGGAAATAGTTACACGAACTATGGCATATTACATCATGGAATATTATGTAGTCATTAAAATATTATACAAGAAAATTAAATTATATGAAATTATATACTACATTAAGTGATAAAAACGGGAAACATTCCAGCTTAATTGAATTTTTGTTTTAAACAAAAGTAAATGCATTATTTCTGCATTTAGAGGTAATTATTATTATTTTTGCTGGCATTTATTTTCTAATTTCTCTACAGTAAATACGTACATATTACTTTTCTAATAAACAACACAAATTAAATGATAGTAGGAAAAAAACAAAACTGTCCACTCCCTAATACAAGTATAAAACTCCTAAGAGGAAATGCACATTACAGATGTAATTCTGAGCTATCACATGGCCACCAGCAACACCCTACCAAGTAGCTATGAGAAAGAGCCAGGTTGACACATGAATGGGAGCATAATTAAGTGAGTAATGCTTTACCAGTTACAAAACGCTTTCATGGACATGACTGCATTTGACTTTCACAACTCAGTGAAATGACCAGAGAGATTCCACTTTATACAGGAGCAACAGATACTGAGCAGGACTGGTTAAGTCATATGCCCCAAATTATAGATCTTGGACTCACTCAATTCTAGGAAGAGTAGGAAAGAATCACTTGCCCTTTTTATATCTACCTAGAAAGAAGTGATTCACAGGTCAATTTAACAATAACCATATTTGCAATTACATTAGTACTCCTATTAGAAAGCAGCAGGGACTCTGGGAATTTCTGAAGTCTCCAATCCCCACTCTCTGAAGCAATACTCAAGGAAAACCTATCTTCCTCTTGTCAACATTATCTACTAACTCACTGAAATTCTAGTAGAATTTAATTGTTTAATTTTCAATTACCTTTTTTCCTTTTTAACAAAAGATTATAACCTTTTACTTTAAAGTTGGAACAAGAAAATGATCATAACTATATTTTAAAAAGCTGCAAACAGTAATCTACAAATTGATGTCAAAGAATCTAACTTACTACTGGGACTTTAAAATATGAACTGGTGGGCTAAATCTTGTTTTGGTATAGGTATATAGATAAGAAACCCTACAAACTGGCATATTCTATAAAGAAAAATACCAACTCCTGAAAAGGATAAAAGAAAATATCTTTAGAGAAACATTATTATTATTTTTAGTTGATTCTCCCAACTCAGCCTCCCAAGAAGCTGCAACTACAGGTGTGTACCACTGTGCCCAACTTAGGGAAACATTATTAATGAGCTGGCCATTATCTGTTGATGACACCATAAGGAATCCTTATAGCTCTTACCCTTACCAACACTCCCAGAACTGAGAGGCTTAACAGGTAATGATAACTATGGTTTACTGAGCAATTACTATGTCTCAAACATAAGCCTTTTAGAGATGTAATCTTTTAAAAAACTCTATAAGGTGATTATTATTATCTCCAGTTTGTAGATGAGGAAACTGAGTTTAAGTTACCCCAAGTCACAAAGCTCATAAGAACTGAGGCAGAATTCAAATCCCAGTATTTTGGAAAGACAGGGCCGTGGCAGTTCTCTGGAACATAAATTCTGATTATTCTTTACTACTGTTTATCTACAATGGTCTGAATTCAGGTAATGCAAAATATTTGGTACTAGCATATGAAGTTAATGGACCTACATTTTCCATGTAAGGAGTTAAAAGTATTCCAAGCCCACAATTTATATCTGATATTTTGTCACATTCCCAGAACTAAGAGACTTAACAGGTAATGATAACTATGGTTTACTGAGCAATTACTACGTCTCAGACATAACAATAAGCCTTTTACAGATACATCTTTTAAAAAAAAAAACCCTATAAGGTGATTATTATTATCTTCAGTTTATAGATGAGGAAACTACAAATTATTTATGTTAATGGTTGGTCTCTACTAAAACATTATTATACTCCTTTTGAGACAAATATATAACCACACAAAAGATAAATTAATATTTAAATAAAATCTACAAAAGATAACACAGAATAAATTCCTCTAACATTAATATTTAAAAGTTTTCCTATATTAATAAATGGGTAAATTAGCCTTCAGTCCAAGTCGGTGAAACTGAATATGCCAGATATGTTTTGAATCACAACAAAAGCATGTCTAATGAAGATGTTTAAATAATATCATAATTATACTGTGAAATATTATGAAATCATTAAAACAAATGTTTTCAAAGAGTATTTAATAATGTGGGTAAAATTATCAGAATACAATGCTAAGAAAGCAAGATACTATTCATCTGAGTTGAACAAATTGCCAAACGTATCAGAAGGCTAGACACTATGCTAGGTGCTGGAATTACAGTATGAATATGACAAACACAGTTCCCATGGGAAAGAGACAAGAAGGAAACAGAAAATAAAAAATAAAAAAATTGAAGATTTCAAACAAAGCAAGAGGTAGAGAGGAAGCTACTTTACATAAAGTGATAAGGAAAAAGGAAAAGCTTCCCTGAGAAAATGACATTTAAGCTGAGAAGGTTCTAGTCATACAAAGAACAAAGTGGAGAGAATTTCCAATAAAAGAAATAGCATATGCAAAGGACGTGCCTCCTCAAGAAACTGAGAGATGACCAAAGTAGGTAGTAATGAGCAAGGAAATAAATGGTAAGACATTAGGTCAGAGATAAAAGCATAAAATACGATCTCAAATTTGTTTTTTAGTGTTATCCCACACACATATATACACACCATACTGAAGGGAAGGAGAACACAATGTTAACAGTGATAATTCTACATGATAAGAACAGGAGTTGGGGTTATTTTCCCTTAATATTTCCACATGCTCCAAAATACATTGCATAAACATTACAATGAGAAAAAATATGGCTAGAACTTCCAGTTCAGAGTTAAATAGAAATGGTGAGGGCAGACATTAATGCTTTGTCCCCAGATTTTACAAAGGAAAAAAAAATCCGTCTTCCACTATTAATTACTATACAACTGTAGTATAATACAGCTGCTATTCCCTCCTCTTGATGCACAGTTTTTGAGTTTTGTTTGTGTGCTTTTATCACTGATGTGTTGGATTTTGTCAAATGATTTCTCTGTATCTATTGAGATAATCATGTGGGCTTTAGTCTTTTATTCTATTAATAATATACATTAAGTGTTTCAGTGTTGAAACAATCTTTCCTTTCTAAGGTGACTGCCTACAACTAATATCATAATAATGGTGAAAGACTGAATGCTTTCCCCACCGAAGATCTGAAGAAGACAATGATATCTCATATCTACTCAGTGCAGCAAATATAAAGATATATAGATTGAAAAAGAAGCTTAAATTATACTTATATGCAGCTAACATGATCTTGTGTGTCAGTAATTCTAAGGACTCTACAAGAAACCCACAATAATTAACTTAAACCTTTAGAAAGGTATATGACAAAATCTGTAATCAACTGCCTCTCTCTCCCCTCTCCTCCCTCCCTCTTCCCCTTCTCTTCCTCTCCCCCTATTTTTCTCTCTTTCTTTCTTTCTTTCTTTAGACAGAGTCTTCCCTCTGTTGCCCAGACTAGAATGCAGTGGCGTGATCTCAGCTTACTGCAATCTATGCCTCCTGGGTTCAAGCAATTCTCCTGTCTCAGCCTCCCAAGTAGTTGAGATTAGAGGCAATGCCATTGTGCATGGCTAATTTTTGTATTTTTGTAGTAGAGATGGGGTTTCACCATGTTGGCCTGGATGGTTTTGAACTCCTGACCTCAATCGATCAGCATGCCTCAGCTTCCCAAAGTGCTGGGATTACAGATACGAGCCACCACACCCGGCTGCACTCCTTATATACTAGCCACAAGCCATCCAAATATAAATTCCATTCAGCCAAAAGAGTGACAAAAAG